CCCCAAAACCCCAAAACCCCAAAACCCCAAAACCCCATGACTGGTGAAAGGGCTTGAATCTTTTAATAATTATTATGCATCTGAATATTTTTAATAATTAAAATCACTCTCCATTTTGATCGATTAGCTCTTTACTGCTTTCTTTTTCTTTACTACTTTCTTCTTTTTGACAGTTTTCTTTATCTTAACCTGAGATGAGGATTTTGGAAAAGAAGACTTGGACTCTATAAAGCATTGAGAATCTATTTTACCATAATCCATACCATATCCTTTGATACCGTTGTGTAAGAGTTTCTTTTCTTTATAGAACTCAAGCTTGTCTCGATCTCAAATATCCTTTTCATGCTCCATCATTTTCTTCTCCTCTTCTATCCTTAGGGTCTTCATTGCTCCTGAAGCAATGCCCATCGAAGCTATTTTCTCATAGCATTTGGCTGCTTGTTCTTTCACAGAAGGCTTAATATTATTTTCTGTAATGCCTTTGATAATGTTGACTATTCTTTCTCTGTTATTTGCTATCTTCAAATCCCACCTTTCTGTATATTTTTGGAGTCGCTGATCAAAATTTAATTAATACATTCGAACACTTGTCTTTCGAGAGCAGGAAATAAGCATCCAAGAACACACTTCAGAACAATCTCTTTGAAACATGGTCCGTGAGGCCTTCAATGAGTTCTAAATAAATACTTCGAGTAAAGCTTGAAGATGCAAATGGAAGGTCTGAAGACAGATCTCACACTAATCTCTGAAAACTGGAGTTTGACTGATCCGAAATCAACCTCCCCAAAAACTCTATTCAAAACTTTCTTGTTTCTTTATGTCCCTTTAAGTGCCCTATAACAATTGGAATAATCTTTTTGTGCAAGGAACTTGGATTAAATAACGATAGGGTTTTGTATAAAGCATCTATCCACCTAATCAAGTGCCGATAGTTCGATTTTATAGTCTCTTCCATTCAAGAAAATGTTTTGGCAAATAGCAATTTAAAACTTGATGCTTTTTCAATATCAGTTTCTTCATCATCAGATAATTGCAATTTTTCTATTCAAAGTATATTTGTGATTTGATCTATTCAAATGCAGATTGTTCCCTGTACATCGACAGACTTATCTGTCATCAGCTTGATGACTATTTTGTGTAAATCATATTTGAACGAGTTAATAGTACCAAATTTATCAATCATTTCATGAAAATTTCCTGCTATTCTTTTTCTGACATCAATACTCTCACTTTCCAGCAACAGTTGATAGTATTCAAATATGTTTTCCATAAAATACTCAACACCTAATGTTTCTACCAATCATGGGCTTTTAAATAATATTCAATTTGTTAATTCGCTGCCTTCTTGTTGCATATATTCTGGAGACCCAAAATGCTTTCGAAGAACTTCGCTTTTCTCTATAGCAATTTCTATGCAATCATTTAAAAATTCAGTATTTTCCTCATTCTTTATAAGATCAGAGATGATTCCAATACAGTTATCTTCAACTTTTTGGGGAGAAAATTTGTCAATATTGTTGAAGAACCCTTCTATTGCAAAATTTTTAACTTCACTTTCCTCGTCATCAAGCAAATCAACCATAATTTCAAAGAAAGTACTATCTCACTCTTCGGGAGAAAGTAAGTTGAATATGCAAGAGAGATGGCCAGCGACTGCTTTTCTTAGTTCCCAATTGAAGTCTCATCACAAGTTTATTAGACGAGGTACTACTCTTTTGGTTGCAATATCTTTATCAATGATATTTGATATAGTAGCCATTAGTCTCGCTCCTGTGCAACGAGATGGTATGGCTTGAGAAAGTTCTCAGAGAGACATTCATAAATCAACAAAACTGTAAATTATTGTTCTCCTTTCTTCTTCGTCATCCTTAAATTTATCCAAATGTCGGATATAGTGTTCGCATAAAACATCCCAATTAGCCTTGTTCCATGATTCTAAAGCTTCAAGAATGAAAATATGAAATTTATCTTTCATCTCTTGAGAAAGCAAATCTTCTTCGATTATGACTGCTAGAGATGCTCCTCACTCTACCTGTAGTTCCTCATCCCATGAAAGAACATCCTTGAAGATTTTAGGAAGGAGTACATCTTGAGATTCAGGGTAATCTCTTATCAAGCTGGGAAGATTTATTAATACTGACGCTCTTTGTATAGAATTAGTCTTATTTTAAAAGCAGTAAAGCTCTTTCAATGTCATCTAGATCTTCTGGGATTAAAAACTTATTTAATCTCTTCTTCACTTAGTTTAGGCTTATTCCATTCTTTGCCATCAATGAACTTATCAGACTGATATGAATATTCCATTACTTAATTTATAAATTATTCAATATACTAAAAACTAAACGGGGTTTTGGGGTTTTGGGGTTTTGGGGTTTTGGGGTTTTGGGG